GGGCGACAAACACCACCACCACTGCTGCCACCGCCGCCACCACCAGCACCAGCACCAGCACCGGCACCGGCACCGGCACCGGCACCGGCACCAGCACCAGCACCAGCACCAGCACCAGCACCAGCGCCGCCGCTACCGCCACCGCCACCAACACCGCCAGCATCATCATCATCATCATCATCATCGTCATCGCCGTCATCATCATCAGCATAGTTGTCATCATCATAGTCACTGTCATAGTCATCATAGTCACTGTCATAGTCATCATCGCATCGTCATCAACATCTTCAACATCATCGTCATCATCACCATCATCACCAGGAGCATACTCAGCATAATCATCACCACTGCCACCGCCATCCTGAACATTATTTTCAGCATCACAGCTTATGTGGTCGTCGGTGCCGTGGCTTGCTACTCGTCTATGCCTTCGTTTTGCCACCACCTTGTTTGTTGTTTTTTTTTGAGTGTTGCGTGCGCGGCTGAACGCTTTCACAGGCTGCCACTGGGGATTGGACCCCTGATTTGTTCAAGTACATGGAGGGGAAGTGGCAAGAGCAGTCGGCTTCTAAGCTTGGAGTGCCGGCAATGTTCCAGGCACTATCTGATTTGTGCTAACCTCAGGTGCCAAGAGCATCGTCGTACAATGCCTTTCGTTGGTTGCTGGATGAATCTCATTCCAAGCAGTTTGGGATGGACGCTCGGCTTGCGACCTGGGCCGGGTTGGCAGTGACTTATAGCGCCGCGCTTCTGCGAACCTCGTGCTGTAAGGAAGCCACCCCCTCACTCTCACGGGCCGCACAAGGCGCAGGAGGAAGTGGCCCGAAACGTGCTGAATCTGGACCTCCAGCCAGGTTCCCGCAACTGCTGCATCTGCTGCATCAAAGGTCCACAGCCCCGAGCCAATCCGAGCCCCGCGCAGGCGAAGCGATGACTTGGTTCTTGCCAATCCACACAATCCACGTCAGTGGCATAAGCTTTACAGACGCTTGGTGTCGATGTGTAGGATGCATTGTGGTCCAGTGCTGTTTGCCGGGAAATCGCCATTGAAGCCAGGAGCCTGTGTCCGGTGTGTTGCCCGGTGGTGAAGCAAGTGTGGAAGTATTCAGCCTCCTGGATTCGCAACCGAGTGTGTGAGTACGAAGTGCTTCTCAGCTTCTCGGTAGTAGCCCAGTCAGCTCGCCTCTGCTTATGTAAGGTTCCAGCAATGGATGCCACTGGGACTTGCTTTGGTCATCTGCCCGCAGCAACTTCTCCTGCCGAACGAAAGTCCCTTGGTGCAATTCATGACCAGTGGCATGGAGCGTAAGTTGCTTGATTTTCTTGTTTACTTGAAGCGCAGGAAAGAGTAAGATGGTTCAAGCTCAGCGCCAAGCACCAGACCTTCAGCAACAAACTCCAGATACAAGGCGTAGTGCATGCCGGCTGAAAAGGCTGGAGTGGTGCATTCGGCTCTCTTGTCATAGACAAGGTGTATATTAACACCAGCAGGGCCTGCTCACCTCAGTAATTGATTGGTTTGGAGCTGCGTTCGGCCAGGGCCTCCAATGCACTGTCGCGAAAAAGCGCATGCCACGGGGTGCTTGTCCTATGCAGGTTTTTGCATGTTGAAGCCCGACGGACCTAGTCGTCCGTCTTCAGGCAGTGTCAAAGACACACCTACGCGAGGATGCCTGCGGTAGGGCCGTTGCGCTGACCCAGTCGCCCTTCGCATGAACCGCTCTTGTTGTGGTCGCTGACAGTCGAAAAGAGAAAACGAAACAATGAGATACCGGCTATCTAAGTATGTCAGAGACATCAGCACATGTTGGCACCTCGGCGTTTTGTTCGTGTTTGGTCTAGATTGGCAGGGCTTGTGCAAAGTTTGACAACACGGTGCAATGTTGAAACTTAGCTGATATAACGCAGGACGGCCGTTTTTTAACTACGAACGCGAGTGTTACCCGTTTCTCTGAGACAAGGACGGCAACGATGAGAATGCAACAGCTCCGAGGAGATGTTTCCAAAACCATGAGAAAAAACTCTGAGCTTGTCGTAGGCAGCACTGGAGACAGCAGTGGAGGAGTAGTGGAAGTGCCTTCCGTGAAAGTAGAAACCAGAGTGCTGGCAAATCCGACGCTGCGCAAGCCGCAAGGGAAATATCCGACTGCAAACTCCAAGCAGAGCAAACATTGGAATTAATGACCGCAGCGAGAGAGACAGAGAATGCTAGAGAGAGGCAACTGAGCCATTTTGGCTCAAGATGGCTGCAGGCTGCCTCAAATTGATTTAAGCCTTTCCCAACACGGGCGCTTGCCGCCCGTTGCTGTTTAAAAGGCTACCTGAACAGTGTTGCTGACTTTACACTTGAACTACACAGTTTCGCGGCGCTGGCGACCGCCTGGAACGGGAAGTATTGCTCGGTGCACGGAGTGTGCGCGGTGACATTTCAAGCGTGAACTCTGAGTGTGTCCGCAGTCCACATGCTCGAGCCTGTTCTTGCGAAGCGCATGTGAGATTAGAAAAGCCCGTTCCGTGCAAAACTGGTGGGGTGCTTGTATGGTGCAGACATGACACTGTGTGCAATTCCCCGCGAATAACTGTCGCGATGGACCTTTCGCCCTCGCCACAGGCGACCATGAGGGGGACCTGTGACAGACATGAAAGAAACACAGTCACCTGGCAAACGCCCATGTTGATGGGGAAGTTGCTTCTGGAAATGAGGACGTGATATGGAACGTGTCAGTTCCACACGGCAAAGGAAGGACAAGCCGGTCCTACCGAGCCGTGAAGCTGGAATCATGCTGCACCTGACGGATATCTCAATCCGTCAATGCCTGTGCCGCGCCCTCGGGCTCGATTCCATGAACTATGGTTTATGTCCCCAAGAGAGGGACATCAGGGGGCAGGCTGATGTAGTTGAATTGAGTTCACTTCCCTGAATGTTTTTCCGTTCCACGATTTCCAGGAGTCCACGCTTGACGTTGCGTGGGTCGCTCCCCATACCTTATGCAGGCACGACCGTTTCAAAAAAAGACGTGAAGAGCGGGCGGAGCGCATTCGCCGGCAGTCTGGGCCTTCGCTCCACGTTCAGAGAGGCTCTGCTCTTGGGCCTTTTACTCGGTCGAGGACGTCTCCGAGGTGATGGGGACTGATCAGGTCGTTCATAAGACCAACGTGCGCGGGTGGACAGGGCTACGTCGAACGGAACGGCGTGAACGGGGCTAGCTAGCTCGTGCTGAGTTTTGTTGATTCGGAACTTGTCGAGGCTGGTCGTCGGATCAAGGGCTATTCGGTTAAGGAAGATGTGTGCGGTAGGAGTTTTCCGGGACCTTGTGATCTCGCCAAGCAAATGCTCGGATGTGCATTTGGCGATCGGACGAGTGATTTTGTGCTTTTTGGACCTATCCGTAAATCGGATGCCATGTGAGAGAATGCGGCTGTCATGTTGCTCGAGAGAAATGAGTGTTCGAACGGTACCAGTATGGAGCGGTTTAGACTGCTTCCTAAATCAACGGCTAGCTGGGTTGGAGTTTAGGGATCAGTCCAGGCGGTCGATTGAGGAGGTTCAGATGCGATCCGCCGTGGCCATCTTGGCGTAGGCCTAGTCGATCGCTTTCGATCTTTTTGATCCCGCCCACTGTGCTCGTCGCGATCGGACGATTAATTGTATGCTCTTTGGACCATGCGGCTTACTCCATGTCGCAGTCTCGCGAAAAGTTGCGGCCGCCATGCTTCTCAGTGAGTGTTCGAACGGTGTCGAGCAGTGTAGACTGCTATTCGTATATAATGTATACATTTAATTACATATATATATATATATTATCATGTGTTTTGGTTTTGTTTTTGTTTTTGTTTTATATTCGACTATACGGTTGTTTACCGGTATTCTGTATGATACCATATGAGACTGCATTGTGTCATGTTGTTCAAATTATGCCATAGTATAACATATGAGATTGTATCGTGCTAGATCATGACAACAACGGATAACAATCTGCATGGTATTGTACTGTACTGGCTGCAAAGCTATGTTGTACTGCATGGACTGTTCTATTTTGAATGATATGGCATCATTTTGTCATATTGCATCGGATGGTTTTATGTTGTTATATACTAGGTTATGTTGTATTATGTCGTGTTGTGTTGCGTGATGTTGTATTGTAGTACGTTACAGTGTTTTGTTTTGTGTTGGGTTTGTGTTGTGTACTTCTATATTGTAATGTATACATATATATATATATATACATACATGTTGTATCAAATCATGTCATTGCATATAGTTTTCATTGTAATCATCTGTTTTACAAGGTTTCGTGATCTTACATTGCATGCACATGGTGGATGATGGTGTGGCGCCTGACGCTTGTGTCCGATCTCGGTCCACGATTACGCCAACAGCTGTACGAATGGTATAGACGCTGAAATGTTGCTTGCGGCTCACCAGCAGATATCCGGTTTTGGTTCGTCTCCCAGCAGAGCCACTTGGCAGCTAGGACCGTGAAGGTTTGTAGTGGATTGTGAGAAAACGGAGGAGGCCAAGGATCTCGAATTGCCCCCTTGCCAAGGTGCCTTCATCTGCGAGGAGCGGCCGGAAGAGGCATCTCATGAAACTATGCATGTGGATTTTCTGTGCTGATTTTGGGTACCGGTGCTTTCGCCCGCAGTACTCGTATAGGAGCTTTTTCGACCGTTACGAATCATGATCCCCAGCAGGATGTGGAGGTAATGAAAGTGTCCGTCATAGGAAGCCGTACGAACCAAAGTCAAGTTGAAGGATGACCCCAGCCTGCAAATCGAACTCTGATTTTACATTACCGTGATTGTGCCATGAGCCGTTCATCGACGATGGACTCGAGAGGCCGACGGCCTAGGCTTTACCTATTGGCCTTCGTCGCACTCTCTGGACATGTGGCCTTCCTGCACCCGCTGCAACAGCCCTCGCACATTAGAGGGCGATATCCGGTGGCGATGAAAGCGAGCTGGCTTGAGATGCTGGAAGAGGCCGTAGGTGCCCCAACTCCACAGCCGGCAACTCCAGCTATACCCAGCAGTGTGCAGCCACTTGATGCCGGGCTGATGACTCGGGAACTGACAGCTTTTCAGTTGGAAGAGAAAGGCCTGGCCATGTCCGGGGAAGACTTCGAAGTCAAGACCCCCGAAGGTGAGCTGGTTTTGCGCATTGGCGGCGGCAACCGCATACCCCTTCCAGGGATGCCCGTTTGGGACAAGCTGACAGTCTCAACTGCTGCTGGCGGCGAGGTTGCCACACTGGAGCGGCAGGCATTCGCCATGACTGCAAGCTACGACCTTCTACGACCGAACGGCAAAAAATTTGGCAAGGTCAGCAAAGCCATGTTCGCATTGACATCAACCTTCGAATTCTACCAGGAGGATGACACCGAGGGGGGTGCATTGCTCCGAGCGGAGGGTTCTTTTAGCGACAAGAGCTACGTCATGAAATCTCGCCAGGGGCAGGCCTCAAAATCTTAAGCTGTTAAGCTGAAGCTTAAAGGAAGCATCGAGTCAAGCTTTGCATCTCGCCTTTTCGCAGGTGGTTGCTACCGTGACGAGACTTAAGGGTTTCAGTGGTGGCAACGTTGACAACTACCAGGCGCTTGTTTTGTCACATGCATGTGAAATCTACCATGTAACTTGCTTCCGATGAATCCGACGAGAGGTCATCGTTGGAGCAAACGTTGATGCAAGCCTTGTGTTGTCGATGGCAGTCATCATCGATGAGATACACGATGAAGAAAATCCTGCAGAGGCGGGTGGTGAAGGTCTTCCTGACATGCTGGAGGATGCTCGAGGATTGCCTTTGCCTAAGGCGGCGAACCCGATGATACCGTCTGGTCGAGCGCCGTTGGACGTTGATCTTATGCATGCAACCACGACAGCCTACGAGCTTGAAGAGAAAGCTTTGTCCATGTCTGGAGAGGACTTTGAAGTGAAAAGCCCATTGGGGCAAGTGCTTCTTCGGATCTCTGGAGGAAATCGTTTGCCCCTGGCTGGCATGCCAGTATGGGACAAGCTGACGATGTCTACAGGATCAGGTTCTGTCGTAGCTTCATTAGATCGGGAGATGGTTGCCATGACGCCGACTTACGATGTGATTCGGCCCGACGGCTCGAAGTTTGGAAGAATTTCGAAGGCCATGTTCGGCCTCACAGAGACCTTCGAGTTCTACCTGGAGGGGGATTCCAGTGGTGGACCAGTCTTGAAGGCAGAGGGGAGTTTCAGTGAACGCGCGTTCCAATTCAAAAGCCGGGAAGGCACCGTTGTCGCTACGGTTGGCCGTGGCTACTACCAGACAGACAATGAGAACCGATATCATGTGGTGGTTGGCCCGCAAGTAGACGCTACGCTGGTCGTGGCTATGGCTTTTGCAATTGATGAGGTGCACGACGAGGAAAGTCAGGCTGAGGCTGAGCCTGAGAGTGAAGAAGGGGGCTGGCCCTTCCGATAATGAGCTGTCTGAGTAGCAGGAGTAGCAATTCTTCGGGCTGTGACCCCAGCATTTGGATGAGTTCTTCTAGTCCCAGCAGCTAGCGCCGCCTCGGAAAAGCATGAATGAAGCAGTACATCTTCTGAGCATCTAGCAGCTGCGGAGTCGCCAGTGCTTGTCCAGCCTTTAGCTTCCACTGCCAGGGCCATGGCTGATGATGCGGAGACACTTCCGTGGCTGAGCTGCGTGCAGCAGGAGATTGGGGTGAAGTCATGGAGAGTGCCGGTGCTTCAGGATGGATGAGCAGCCAGCGCAGCCGCTAGCCTCTGATGCCACGGAAAAGAAGGTCCGTGAGTTTTTCAGAAAGCGCATTTAGTGCTCATCTGCTCCGTGTTAACGCGGAATGCCAGGACGAAGCTGTGAAGAAGCGAAGGGGCAGGCCCAAGGACAGCATGGCTTGACTTGAGCAAGTGTCCAGCATGTCTCGCATGGATCAGTGGAGGATGACAACGCACCGCCGAAGCCAAAGACTCCAAAGATGCAGGTGTGCACCTCAGAGGACATAGGCTCAGTAAGATGCAGAAGATGGGGGATGGTTGGATGAGTACGGTTGTGCAGGTTACTGGTCCGGCCCGCGAGCGTCTCAAAACAGAAAGGCAGTGCGACTGGGAGTCGAGCAGTTGGAAGGTGGCGCTTCGCTCTGCGCCTTGCAGGCCGGAGTTGGCGACGGATCTGAAAGCCATGATGGCTGCCTTGAACGATGTCTGGGAGCAGGACGGCTTTCGGTGACAGCATTCGCCTGGAGTAGACTTCCTCCACACCCTTACAGTTACAGCTCCTGAGGTGCCGCAGGAAGAGAAGGATAGGATGGAAGCAGAGCTGCCTGGCCTTGGCATGCTTTGGTGCCGCGCACACTTCTGTCACATTCACAGAAATTGAGGACAGGGACATACCGGGTTTTGCATAGGCGAGAGGCGACCAAACGGGACTTGCCAAAGGTTCCAGAAAGAGATGGAGATTTGGCAACCGAAGTGGGAGGCATACAAGAAGACCGCATCCTTCAAGGAATTCAAGTGCTTGAAGCAGGCACTTTCTGCTTCGGAAATGGACGACATGTACCAGTAGTATGATCGATCCGCGTGATGTCTGGTAGAAGTGAAGCGGCAAAGTGCTTTGCAGGAATACTTGGATCGAAAGGAGAAGCGGAAATTCTTGAAAGCGGCTGCAAAGAATGCACCCAAAAAGCCGATTGCCAAGAATTCTCAGCCAAATGCACTGCACTGCAGTGGGGAACCCTGGCACTCAAGGCCGAAGTCTGGCTACATGATATTCGCTTCTGAAGCCCGCGACAAGGTCAAAGAGGTCGGGCCGTGCGAAAGCTTTTCCCCAGAAAAACCTCGTTCATACTCAGGAGGTCATGGCCGCCGGCGGTACGTTGGGAGATATCGGAAAGCGAATTGCTGACCTCTGGAAGGAGCACGGGTCTCAGCGGCACGATCAGGCAGCAACATGGCCAAACCAACAACTCCGCAATCGTGCGGCATCATTGCCTCAGGCTACCAGAGGCCAAGAAGGCGGAATACGACGAGACTTCCCAAGCACAAAAGGAAGAGCTTCCGCCTGAAGTGGGTGGTCCGTTCTGCGAACGTGATTCTTTTGTGGTTCATGGCCGGGATGCTCTAACGATGCGCATTGAGGTTTAGAGTCAAATTTGCCGAGTACAAGAAAACGGCAGATTTCAAGGAGGGGAAATACGGAGCCCGAGAGGAGTTTTTTGGGCGAACTGGTGGATGAAGATCTCAGCTCTGCTAGGATTTCCAGAAAGGCAAGGCGAAGATGGAAGGAAAGCACGGACTTAGACAGCTTCAGCTGACAACCCACAAGGTGTGATGCCGTCGGTCGGGTCTTCCGAGTGGTTTGTGGACCCCTGAATGCCAGGAAGCACCAGACCTGCCAAAGGGTGCTTTTGCCTTGTACAAGGCCAAGCACATGAAGCAAGTAATGGAGGACTGAACCGAAGAGGATTAGATTGCTGTGCCGGTGAAGCGTGTCCGACCGGCATGCGCAGCGATTCTGCTGCTCCTGCTGTGGCGGGGTGACGCTGCAGAGATTTATCCGTCCGGCGCATTCATTGCAAACTCCCATACTTTCCCTCGGTTTCGGAGCTTGGCGCGTCGAAATCGTGCTCAGCTGCGCGAATTTTGAGGTGCGCATCGTCTTCCCGCCGCAGTGCCGTGCGTGTCCGCATTTCATGCAAAATCTCTCTCCCCGCAGTCCCACACACATTTTGGGGTGAGACTCGTGTTCCCACCGTGCGGTGCATGTTTTGGATTTGCCGAGTGTGCTCCGGCCGCGTTTCGCATTCTGGACTCGTGGGGCGATCTTGGGATCCCCAGATCCTGGAATGGTCTTTCCAAAGTCTGGACTGCTGGGTAGGTGCTCTTCCGCAGTCTGGCTGTCGTGAGTTGCGTCCAGGAGAACAAAGGTGTGGCCGCAGGTGAGCTGAGCTTCTTGGCCACTGGAGTTTTGCAGTCGTGTTCAGTGGGCGTTCAGCAAGTGCACGGATGTCACGCAAGGCAAGATACTGAGCAACATGTGGAAGAAAGCTGAAGCAGAAGAACGAGCTCCTTTCGAGGAGCAGGCCAGGCCCTGCTCCATTTAACAGCCGTGGCAAGTGGAAACTGGAAGGTTTTCAAGCTTTGCTTCTGTGCAATTCCAGGCTGCAGTCCTCAGGAAGGAGTATCTGCAGCGCCTTGGCCGGACATGGCTCCAGATGGAGCGATGTGGTTATGCCCGCTGCGCTGTAAAGCTCTGATGCGGTGGGGCACAATGTCTCTTCGTTTTCCGACGTGACCCTTGAAACCTGACATTTTTTGTTGCTGGCATATACACAGGCTACGAACCTGCACCTAAGTTTGGCAAAGGACATGTGTGCAAGCTGGAGACCTGTGAGGTTGCTGTAGCGAAGGCCAACGAGCTGTTGTGATGGTTAGTTGCAAAAGAATCCGCGAGGGAGTGAGTCGCGTTTCAATAGTGCTGTGTATCTCAGCCACTCTAAGCAGAGATGACTATGCGAGTGCTGTTAGGTCCTAGGTAAATGCTCTTGCAGCTGGGCAAACCTGAACTCTCGGTGAGACGGGCTGCCGATGTCACAGCTGACCTGAACACGGGCTGCTAGGAGGCTTATGAACTTGTAGTCGTATGTCAACGTAGCGGCCCTGTGTCTACCCGCCTGTGGGACTGAGTTCCTGTTTTTTGAGCGATTTGTGATTGGTTTAACCTCCGGACTGGCCAGAATCTCTCGATTGGAGAACCGTGAAAATTAAGCTTCTGCACTAGAAGCAGCGTCAAACTAAAGTGTTTACAGAGCCTTTGTCTAGTACCGCTTCGCGAAATGAGGAAAGTTGCCGACTTCAAGCGCAAGAAGGCAGACCAAAGTGGAGACTGTTGCACACATGGATTGCTTGCACTTCGTCTTCTATTTAGTTTCATTTGCAGTGAGGTGTATGTGCAGTTTCTCCAAAAGCGTGTGACTGTGAGAACAAGAGCATCTTGGCAACACGGATTGGAAGATGCTTCTTCGCAGAGTGTGCCGTCTGCTTACATCTCATGTCTGCAGCATGAAGCTGATTGCAACAGTAACCATTTGCTTAACTGCTTCTTGCAAAAGGGCATGTCCTGTCCAGCAGCAACTTCGGAACTAGTCAGGACCGTCCTGCTTGCCTCTGAGCTCTTGGTACGCGGGTTTGTGCATGTATGACAGGCAGAACAGTCACTCAGATCCTGTTCCGGAAGCCGGAAGCATTGCACGTGCGTCCTCTGAAGCGACGCTTTGTACAAAGCGTGGCCCAGGAAAACCGCAGGGTGAATCTGAACGACATGCCCAAGAAGCCGAAAAGCGTCAGTCTGCTGCAATGTGAGCACGTCCTTAGATCATGCTCGTGTTCCATCCCGCTTTATGAACACAGATCGACTGCAATTGTTCCTGTCTGTTCGGCTGGTGGAACGATGCGGAGATGAACTAAGTCTGCAGTGCGGTGCTGGATGCCGCAGCATGTTCTTCGTGAAATGAGTGTCTTTGAAGCGGCGCTGTAGCAATGATGTTTATCCGGGTTCTTGATAAGGTGTACGCCCTTTTCAGGGATGACATCAAGGACGAGGTGCCCGCTGGGAAAGGAGAGGGCCCCACAGCCGCAGGATTCAAACGAGCGCTTCGACATAGATTGGCTGAATTCGGCATCCAAGGAAAGGGGATGAATTTCGTCAAGACCAAGTTTGCAGAAATGGACGAAACCGAGCCGCCTGGCTGCACGCATCTGGATGTTGGGGGTACAGGAAAATTCTTACTGGGGGGGCGGGGGTCAGGAAGAAGAAGTACATGGAAAAGGAGGCAGATTTGAAGGAAAAGTACAACGAAGAAGTCAAAACCTACAAAGAAGGCGAGCAGTACAAGGCCAGCGACAGAAGGCTTTCGTTTGGGAAACTCTTGTTTGCTTACTTGTCCATTAGTAGTTTGCCGAGCTTGGCACCAGCGTCTTGCTTTGCAGTGCCTTGCAAGCGTGAGGAGTTTGAGAAGACGACGGTCAAGATCAAGAGGGAAATGATGACAGAAGCCATGAAGGTCAGATGGTCAGATGTATCTTATCCGATGGAAGGGTCGACCCCCCTCTACTCCAGCTTCTGCAGCATGTAGATGGTAGAGTGCACTTTGAGGTCATGACTTTGAAGTTCCTGCGTGGCGCACCTCCGGAGCCGCCAAAGAATCCTTTCGCCATATTCGTTGGCGAGAAGAGGCAGAATCAAATCGGCTTCTTTTGGCTTTGACAGTGGCAGGCCAGCACAGGCCACAACCTTGGCAGGCGCATGTCTGAAGAATCCAACGGAGCGCCTCCAAAGAAGAGGAGCCGTGAAGAAGCCAAAGCAGAGGCCGTGGTAGCTGAGACGGGGTCCTGGTTTCGGGCCATGCCGCCAGAGTTTTCAACAGAAATCAGAGTCAGATGTTTCGTGCTGCGTGTAGGTGG